TAAAGAAATGTGTATTTCTTATACAGTGGAGGTTTTTCTTTTAAACTTTTTTATTTTGAAATAATTTCACGGCTGGGTGTGGTGACTCATACCTGTAATCCCAGCACTTTGGGAGGCCGAGGTAGGAGGATTGCTCGAGCCCGGGAACGCAAGACCAGCCTGCGCAACATGGCAAGACCTTGTCTCTACAAATAATTAAAAAATTAGCCAGGTATGGTGGCGGGCAACTGTGGTCCCAGCTATGCAGGAGGCTGAGGAGGGAGGATCATTTGAGCTCAGGAGGTCAAGGCTGCAGCAAGCCATCATCATGCCACCTCACTCCAGCCTGGGCAACAGAACAGGACCCAGTCTCAAAAAAGAAAAGAAAAGAAAAGAAAAAAATAATTTCAAAGTTACAAAAATAAGCCGGGCGCGGTGGCTCAAGCCTGTAATCCCAGCACTTTGGGAGGCCGAGACGGGCGGATCACGAGGTCAGGAGATCGAGACCATCCTGGCTAACACGGTGAAACCCCATCTCTACTAAAAAATACAAAAAACTAGCCGGGCGAGGCGGCGGGCGCCTGTAGTCCCAACTACTCGGGAGGCTGAGGCAGGAGAATGGTGTGAACCCGGGAGGCGGAGCTTGCAGTGAGCTGAGATCCGGCCACTGCACTCCAGCCTGGGCGGCAGAGCGAGACTCCGTCTCAAAAAAAAAAAAAAAAAAAAAGTTACAAAAATAAAAATAGTGCAAATAATACATATATATTTTGTGTGTGTGTGTGTGTGTGTGTGTGTGTGTGTGTATTTTTTTTTTTTTTTTTTTTTTTTGAGAGAGATTTTGCTCTTGTCACCCAGGCTGGAGTGTAATGTATGATCTTGGCTCACTGCAACCCCCACCTCCCAGGTTCAAGCATTTCTCCTGCCTCAGCCTCCCAAGTAGCTGGGATTACAGGTGCCTGCCACCATGCCTAGCTAATTTTTGTATTTTTAGTAGTGACAGGGTGGTCTTGAACTCCTGACCTCTGGTGATCCACCCACCTCAGCCTCCCAAAGTGCTGGGATTACAGGTGTGAGCCACTGCGCCCAGCTATTCATAAATTCTTTACCCAGATCCACCCACTGTTAACATTTTCCTCCATTTGCTTTGTCCTTTGCTATTCATTCAACTATGTAATATATATATATTTGTATATAGACATATATAATAAATATTTGTATAGACATACACATGGTATTTTTTAAAATCATTGGAGGGTAAGTTATATATATTAGGATTCTAAGATATTAGGTCCATTATATGTAATATTGGTAACATACTATATTATATATATGTGTAGTAAATATAATACAGTCATATGCTGCATAAGGATGTTTCGGTCAAAGAACAGCATATACAATGGTGGTCCCATAACCTTATAATGGGGCTGAAATATTCCTATGACTGAGTGATATCTGGATGATCCTGACCCAGTGTAGGCCTAGGCTTATGTGTACGGCACTTATAAAGTCTACAGTAGTGTACAGTAGTGTCCTAGGCCTTCCCATTCACTCACCATTCACTTACTGACTCACTCAGAGCTACTTTCAGTCCTGCAAGCTCCATTCATGGTAAGTGCACTATATAGGTGTGCCATTTTATATTTTTAAACCATAATTTTTATACCAAAAGTTGTACCTTTTCTATATTGAGATATGTTTAGATATCCAAATGCTTACAACTGTGTTACAGTCCCCTACAGTATTCAGTACAGCAGCATACTGTACAGGTTTGTAGCCTGGGAGCAATAGGCTATACCATATAGCCTAGGTGTGTAGTACGCTATACCATCTAGGTTTATATACTCTATGATGTTAAGATGACAGAATCACCTAATGACGCATTTCTCAGAACATATCCCTGCCATTAAGTGATGTATGTTTGCATATGGGGACCAAGAAGACTATTCTTTTTCATAACCACAGTTAATGTTGCCAGGCTTAGCAAATAAAAATGCAGGATGCCGTGGGCAAATTCCAACAGAAATGAAAGCTCTGAGCTTTCCCAGACTGGGGGAACTACTATACTTCCTCTGCTGAACACACTTAGACACTGTTGTTGGATTTGATGAGTTGGAGGATGCTTACCCTCCAACGTCCGAACAATAAACCTAATCCGCTGGGCAAGATTTCTGGTAAGTAGTTAATGTCTACTGTGATCTTGCTGATAAAAGTGAAGGTTAGTTGGCTCTTTTTTTCCATCTCTTGAAAGCTCTGTTGATTTGGTAGTGTTTCTCAGAAATGAATGAATAAGGATTGTCTTATAAAAAAACACTGTTTAACAAATTTAAATATAAATCATCACTGGATCTTGTTAAAATGTAGATTCTGATGCAGCAGAACTGGAGTGGAGTCTGAAATTTTGTATTTCTTAAAAAGCTTCCAGAGGACATCAGCACAGTGGTCCTCCTAATCACACTTTGAGTTGTAAGATTATGGCCACCTCTGTGACAGTCAATAGATATTTCAAATATGCAGGTACCTGGGCCCTATGCCAATGTATTGATTCAGAATCTCTGGAGGCAGTGTCCAGGAATATGAATTTAAACAAACTCCTAGGGAGATTTGAAAACCACTAGTCTATGGGTTTGAAATATCCTCTATCTTATTCTCAACATGTTTATTTTGTTTCTGAAAGCCTAGTGCAGGTCCCTCCTGCTTGATGCTTTTTTCACTGACCACCTCAGATGTAAATTCATTAACAGTTGTTGGCAGCATTTGCTATTTATCATGGGCTTTCTTTTCTTACATATATCCTGTCTCCTTAGATGTTATTTCTCGAAATGAACAATTATATAGATTCTTGTAGCCTCAGCTCCTACCATAATGCTTAGCAGAGAGTAAATGTATCATGGACAATAATGGTGATGGTAGTGGAAGATGAATTTCTCTCCAGGACACGTGATTTGTTTCCCAGGCCTTGTGTAATTAAAAGAACAAGAGTCCTGCTGACTCCACAAAGGAAACAATCACTTAGCAAAAACTGCAACTCCCGACTATGGCATGTTTTTCAGAAACTGGAACCACAATCCTTTTGTACCTTGGTAGTTTAAATGGCACTTTAAAGGAAATAAAGTAATACTTTGAACTTATTATGTCTTTTATCTGTGAAACGCAGACTAATGCCATTTATTAAGTTACTGTACAGCCATGATGTAAATATTATCATACCCTCCTCACAAAAAAGCTGACTAGGGAAAGAGTTGTAATATACTTGGTCAAAATCATAGCCATTCTAAGAAGGCCAGACCAAGAAATGGAGGAGTAGCTAGGTGGCTGACAGGTCAGCACTTCTCAGCGTTTCCCAGACCTCAAGTTAGGTGAGCATTCCATAGGAGAGGCGGCTAAGAAGTAAAGGAAGACTATTTCAATTTGAGTGAACCAATTTCCTCTTCCTCAGTATTCCCATTACCATTGCTCTTGGTATCTTGTGATGCTTATACATTCTTATATCAAGGTTAAATGTCGACCCATCTTCCCTCAACAACTTCCTCATCTATTTTACAGTAATCTTGTTCGCCCTATCTCCTAGTTTACTGTAGCAGCAGAGCTATTAGGTTGGTACAAAAGTCATTGCCGTTTTTGCCATTACTTTTAATGCTATTATTTTTAATGGCAAAAACCGCAGTTATTTTTGCACCGACCTAATAAAATAACTGCCAGCCGAGGGAATCTGAAATGAGACTCGAACCCTAGTTTGACCGCTCACGAACTCGGCCTCTTAGGAGAGGACTGTCTCAGGGAGTCAGTTTCTTCTTTGTGTGTGAAACGGGAAAGGACGACGCCCCCTACCTTACTGAGGGATTGAAGCGATAGAATGAGACTCGTAAACTGCACAGCACTAAACGAATACCACTTTGCCCCCTTACTATGTCATTCCTTGTTTAATTTAATGCCAGGGCCACATACCGCAGCATAACTAATAGGGATAGGGCGTCCGTAGGGAACTACCTCGAAGCAGATCTTTTTCTTTTGAGGAAAGGGAGGGCTCGGAGCTGCTGGGAGTCGTAGTCTCGGCGGCGGTCTCCGCTGAGCTCAAAGGAAAGAACTACAGCTCCCGTGAAGCAGTGCGCGGACAGCTCGCACAGCCCCTCCTCCCACAACCGGCGCGTGCCCCCAAGAGAAATTGGGGGTCTGCGCGCGCGCTGGGATCTGCAGGGCAAGCGCGAAGGCAGCTTCCTAGTGGTAGCCGTGAGAGCAGATCGAGGAAAGGAGACCCATGGCAAATTAAAAAATAAAAATAACTGTGCACTACTGCCTCACCACCCGGACGGGCTGTAAACCCATGCTACTTCGGAGTCGTGGGGAGCGCGCTCCCGGACTCCAGTTTAGGGCTTCGCGGACTTAAATTAGCAGAGGCGGGAAGGGGCGGGGCCTAAGGCGCGGGGCGGGGCCGTAGGCGGTGCGGGCGGCGGCGGCGGCGGCGGCGGCGGTGGCGGGGCCAGGACCCAGACATCTGGGACTGTTGTTGTTCTCTCGCGGCGCGACCGCCTCAGTCACTTCGCCCAGAGACCCCGACCTGGTCCGCTGGGGAGCAGGCGGCCATAAGCCCCCTCTCTCCCGGTTCCCTGACGCCGCAGCAGGAGCTGTTACAAACACCCTGCGATTGGTCTCCAATGCCCTTCAGTGAGGTGGGGACGCCCGGACCCTGGTGAGCGAACCCCAGGCCACCCCCCACCCCAACTCAGTGTCTTCGCCGGCCCCCGGCACGTACACCTGTCTGGTCGCCATGGCTGAAAACACAGAGGGGGATCTGAACTCCAACCTGCTCCACGCCCCCTACCACACCGGGGATCCTCAGCTGGACACGGCCATCGGGCAGTGGCTCCGCTGGGATAAGGTGGGTACCTGGTCAGCCCAGCATCCGCCGTCGCCTCCCCCACATAGTCTGCTCTTTCCTATGCCCACCCAGCGCCCCATGGGCTGCAGAGGAGATGGCTCGGGACACCGGGCGGGGGGCAGCGGAGCAGGGCGTTGCCACCCACCTATGCATGGGGTTCCTCCTTCGGTCCGCCAGAGCCGAACATCTGCATCGCTTCCTTCTGCGGTGCTCTCAATTGTAACCTCCCTTCCTCTTCTTTACCCTCTTTCCCTTCAAGTGCTGTCTTCCCTCTTTCTTCCAAAAAAAAAAAAAAAAATCATTGTAGGTTATACCCTAAACAACGATTTCCTTTCCCTTTTTCTCTCTTGACTTCCTTCTCCACAAACCTGAAAGTGGTTTCTGGCACCCTTACTGGGCGTTTCTAACCGCTATCTGCTTTAGTTCTGGTCTGGTGTGTTTCCTCCTTCTGTCGCTAGGTAGTCGCTGGTCTTCTATCCTTGGTATTTTCTAGTATCACCTTTTGCTCTTGGGAAAGGCAAGGCGCTTACCTCTTCTTTCTCCTGCTGGCAGCTATTTTCTGGAATTAATCTGTTCAAGGAATCGTGTTTTCCAGGTTTCATATGGTACTCTTAATACAGGATTGTTTTTGCCTTAACCCTTACTTCTCTACCAACACCTCCCCACCCACGCTCCGCCCCCACCTCCAAATTGTTGCGGTAATTAAACCTTATGCGGGCATTTGGGATGGATTTGTGACAATCAGAATTAAAATGCAGCTATCTTACTTGTAAAAGAGGTCCCTGGTGGCTCCAACAAAGGAAGATAATCCAAGCTTTTGCTTTGTCAAGTGCATAAAATGCCTTTGTTGAAGTAGAGAAGGCAGCACATTTAAAATGGAATTAATGACACTGAATTAAGGAATTTGTATGGTATTATGTGACATCATGTTGTACAAATGAATTTCCTTAAGGCTTCTCTTTCTGAAAGTTTTGTTTTTACTTTGTTCATTCATTCATTCAGCAAAAAAATATTGAATGTCGAGTGTGTGTTTTAGGTCTTGTTAGACCCAGGAAATACTTGTGAGGAAAATAGAAAGGGTTCCTGCCCTCAACAAGCCTCAGCAGATGAGGAAGACCAACAAATAAGCAGTTACAATGAGGTATTTGGTGTTAATTGGTCATATGTATATCGGACGAATAATTCTTTCTCTACAGTCTAATGCTTCTCAAACCTTAATGTGCTTACAGATCACCTGGGGATCTTGAAATACAGATTCTGATTCAGGAGGTGTGGGGTGGGGCCTCGGATTCTGCCTAAGAATGAATTTCCAGGTGATACTAATGCTGCTGGTCTGTGGACCACACTTGGAGTAGCAAAACTTTGTTTTCTTTAGGTGCCAGTTCTAACTATACTTTTCCTAATGAGTCTCCTGATTGATTTTTTTTTTTTTTTTAAACAGGGTCTCTCCATGTTGTCCAGGCTGGAGTGCAGTAGCACAATCGTAGCTCACTGCACCCACTGCAGCCTTGAACTCCTGGGCTCAAGTGATCTTTTTGCCTTAGCCTGCTGAGTAGCTGGGACTATAGGCACATGCCACCATGCCCAGCTAATTAAAAAAATAAATTTTTTTTTTTTTAAAGAAATGGGGTCGCACTGTGTTGCCCAGGCTTGTCTTGAACTCTGGGCCTCAAGGGATTCTCCCACCTCAGCCTCCCAAAGTGTTGGGATTATAGGTGTGAACCACCTCACCCAGCCCCTGAAAAAGAATGAAGAGAGGTTGGGCACAGTGGCTCACACTTGTAATGCACTCTGGGAGGCCAAGGCGGGCAGATCATCTGAGGTCAGGAGTTCAAGACCAGCCTGACCAACATAGTGAAACCCTGTCTCTACTAAAAAAAAAAAAAAAAAAATTACCCAGGCGAAGTGGCACATGCCTGTAGTCCCAGCTACTCGAAGGCTGAGGCCAGAGAATCACTTGAACCCGGGAAGCGGAGGTTGCAGTGAGCTGAGATTGTTCCACTGTACTCTAGCTGGGTGACAGAGTGAGATTCCATCTCAAAAATAAATAAAGCAAAACAACATAAAATAAAAATAATGAAGATAAAAATTCATCAAAAGTGGAAGATAAATTCTTAATTTGTATTTAAAGTGCCTCTGAATATAAGGCATTGGCTGAAACCTGTGAGAGACAGAAAGATGAAATAGATATGGATCGTATCGTTAAAGAACATAGAAGGGAAGGAAAAGCATAAATAATAGAGGCAAGTAATAAGTTTCCTTAACAGAGGAATAGATTTAAGTAATTTGTTAATAAATATAATAAATTTCTTCATTGATCCTTTCTTAATAGGAGAGAATATATTTAATGGAGAAATCATATCTACTGTAGATTGATACTATAGAGAAGCTAGACTATGTCTCAGGGCACTGAAATTTAGAGTGCAGAAATGTAAAGATCAGACTCAGCATTTCTTACATTATACATTGATGACATGGGTAGTCTTTTAACATAGAGAGACTGAGTTTAACACCTGATGAATACCTATTTAATTAAAAAAGGAACCAACTGCCACCAATTATTCATGACTCAGATGAGGCATATAATCAGTTATAAATTGATTAGAGGTCAATGTGTTACTTGCGTTGGTCACTAAAATTACTAATCTTAGTCTCGGTTGGTGTATTTGAAAAGTCTTTATGAAAAAAATGTTATTTGTGCTTGAACTTTCAGAATTAGTTAAAATTAGACTTGCTAACATAAGGAGAACTATGACAAGCATAGAGATAAATTTTAATGTGTGTATTAAGAACTTTTATTTCTGCTGTTGCTCAGGGTACATAGAAAATTTTGGAAGGATATGTAAAGACCAGGTCATAGAAGGGCTTTAGTATGTTTTGAAGGGCTTAAATACACACAGGTGTGCATGTAAGTGTTAAAAAGAAAACAATGCAACAAGATGGGCTGTTTATTGGGGCAGTTTGGGGTACTCCACGTAGTTTCTATGGGGTGGCTTTCTGTTGGTAAATTTACAAGTCCAGAATGTGACCTTCCAGTTCCTGAGCCTTCAGCCTAATTTGTTAGCCTACCTTGTCTCAGGATGGACTCACTGTGCTCAATGTCACAGAAACTGATGTCTGAATTCAGAATGTTTTATTAATGTATGGTACAGATGTAATAGCTAAGTAGATTTGTTTCTATTCAGGGCATTTTCTAGATGCACCATAGGAGAAGTCAAAAGAAGATTTTTAGTGGTCATGAAATCAAATCACAGGGAGTCAGATATATGACACAAACATTTAACAGCATCAACCTGTAATAAGTAAATGCACACATCTCCACAATGGGACTATCTTACCACTAGAACCCAAAAGTCCTAGATCAAGGCATTTCTCCTCCAGGCAGTGAACAGATGACTCTACTACAGTGGTCTCTCCTTCTATCCTCTAGGGCTAAGTCACTCACCTCCTTCCTAGTTCTTTTTTTCAGTACTTTCATACATTCTGTCAAATTATAGATAAGTTTTGCTGGCCCAGAAGCCAGGTTCTCTCAATATAATATGTCCTGTTCTTTATGCATTGTTAATTTTCTTTTTAAAAGCAGTCCTATATGTAAGATGTTAGGCACTGGCAAAGTGGATGGATCAGTGGCTGGATGGGGAATAGAGCTGGGACATAGGGCAGAGCTGCTCAGCCTGCTATAGCAGCTGCCACAAAGGTGTTGAACTTCCTATATATCAACAGCGATGTGGAGGCAGGAATTGGCCATGGCATTTTAAGAAATAGCAAGTAGAGCACTCTGGTTTCAGAATGTAGGTCTGTGTTGAGAAAGAGTATCATGTAAAGTTCAAGGTAGCACAGGCTTATAAAAAGCCTGAAAATGGAAATAAAATACTTCAATCTAGGCCAGTGATTCAAACATTAGTCTAATGGTAGAAGTTTTTTTCAGTGTCACTCGCATGATTTTCGGTGCCTCGTAATGTAGCCCAGGTAGAAAAGGTGATGAGTGAATTTCCTTTTAAATCATCCTTATGTGATGGGAAATACACCCACGACATTCCTCGACAAAGGTGGTCTACTCCAGGGTCATTGTATGGAGACCCAAAGAAATTGTGGACATTATCCAGTTACGGAGCTTAGATGGGCCATTGGATCTGCCACCTAGTTCAATCCAATTTTTATAATACTAGTTTATATAACATTTTTTGTTCACATTTTTCTAATACTGAATTTGGCATTTAATCAATGAAGAGTGCAGAACATATACATATGGCTTTATTACTTTTGGGAAATGCTAGTCCTTATTCCTTGAATTTATTTCTGTAGTGTTTCAACTTTGGTAAAATGCTCTAAGTCTCGTTTGCTATTCATGGCAACAGTGTGTTAGGCAGGTAGTAGTTATCCCCATTTTTACAAGTAAAGAAACTTAAGCTCATAAAAGAAAAGTGACTTGCTCAAGGAGATATGGCTTTTAAGTGGTAAAATTGGGACTCAAACTTAGGTCATCTCACTTTTACTGTATTCTTATAACTGTGGTAGACTCCATAAAGCAAATGTTTAATACATGTTAGTGACAACATAAGCTAAGTTTCAAGGCCCTCATTAAAACCATTTTATTGGCTTTTATAAAGCTGGAGGAGGATGTAATATCATGCAGAATAAATTGCCATGGATTTTTTTTTAAAGAGCTGAACAGTTGCTTTGGTCTCCTTGGCAACAGTGTTCTCCTTCTGTCCAAGAAATTTAGTACATATAAATGAATATTTGAATTTTTATTTTTAGAATTCAAATTCATTTTTTCTTTTTACTTCCAAATTTCCTACATTTTCTCCTGTTTTCATCATTTTATTTGCAATTTATTTTTTTTTTAAGAAATACATGCTTATGATTTTAAAAAATAGTACAGAAGGGAAAACAATGGAAAACAATGATCCTAACTGCCTCTTCTTTTCCTCAGTTTGCTTATAGGTCATTTTAAGTTTCTTTTTAGTTATTTTTGTGGTTACCATGAAAAGACCAAGTAATAGACTAGAACCGCTATTTCTTGATGTATTTTAAAGCTTTAGATATTATCTGTCAGATATATCCCTGTGCTGTGAAAAATGGGAATTCACTCACTATTCTCTATGTCTCCTGAATTTTGATAGTTATGCTATTAGCATTAGTCATTTCGAAAGTTTAAACAATATAATTAATGCTAGCAAAGTTTGCAGGACAATAAGTGCAACTAACAGAGCTTCCAATTGGCCATTTTGTTTAATGGGAGACTGGCAGAAAACATACTCTATATGTGAAAACAGAGAAAACCCATACCAGCTTATATAAGGTACCTAGCGTAGTCAAATACACAGAAACAGAAAACAGAATGTTGGGTACCAGTGGCTAAAAATCTATTGATGTTAAAGCTAACTAACGATCAAACCATAAAAAGGAAATAAGCTGCATGCAAAATAAGTAAAGCAATGGATACAGGAAAAAAACTGAGTTAAGTCAGGGAACACAAGAACTTAATGTTTTTTGATTAAATAAGACAATTATTCCATCAAATAAGGAAATATGCTATGAAAAAGGAACAGGAAACAATAATGAGCTCTTGGAAATTAAGAAAAAAACATTGACACACCACCCCTGCCAAATGCAATAGAAAATATAGAAGTTAAAGTTGAGGAAACATAGCAAAAGGAAATAGGAA